AAAGTGAGAAGCAGACAAGTGATGTAGAAGCGCCGTCTCGCTCTGCTCATTGGCCGATTCCCCGGCTTTCGCTCTCACTCGCGCGACGCGGATCTACTACTCACTGGGTCACTCGCTCACCAAACACCTCGAGCTCATTCTCTCTCTCTCTCTCTCTCTCTCTCTCTCTCTCTCTCTATCTATCTATTTATCTATCTATCTCCCTCTCTCTCTCTCCCTTCATCTCCTATCTCTATCTAACCGTTTTGCGCACTCTCTCTCTCTCTCTCTCTCTCACTCTCTCTCTCTAGTTTCTCTTTATCACTCTCACTCTCTTTCTTCCTCCTACTCCGGGATGAGAGAGGGAGAGAGAGAGAGAGAGAGAGAGAGAGAGAGAGAGAGAGAGAGAGAGAGAGAGAGAGAGGGAAAGAATGCACACGCTTTCCTCGTCTCTTCATCCCCGTGCAATTTTCTTTACGCTCTAATGTGCATCCGACCTAATGTGAAGCGCGTGTGACTGAAAAACATTCGAATACATAAATGGATCTCTTTGTTTCTTTAAGCTTGGACGAACAAGCCCGAACATTCGACCACTGAGGTTATTCCTCATTATCGGGTCATCTAGTCGTCAAAACCGACGATAAGCGAATTTCACCGGCCACGTGCTCGTGCGAAATACGCGTACAGTTATGGCTGCAATCACGTGGATACTTTGCCGATGTATGTGTGCGCCGCCGCCAAGAGCAAAAATACTAATTAGCCACTCCATGTGATTTCAGCCAGGGTGAAGTAGTATCCGAAGAAAGAGCTCGAGACTCCGCTCGCTTCAAGTTTCGCGGCGACAGCATATATTTTTATTTGATGCTTCGTATCGTTTTTTTTTTCGTTTTCTCTTTCTTTCGTTCTTTCATTTCTCTTTTTATTTTTTTATTTATTTTTTTTTTTTTTTGACGCGATTGTCTACCAACCGAAGCTCTTATGCAAAAAGAAGTAAATCGATAGCACTGGTCTCTCAGAACAAAACATTAAGAATGCCAAAGTACTTTTTTAAATTGCTGCTTATTATCGAGTTGTTCTTGTTGTTATCGAATTTTATAACAATAACATGCACTATAAAAGTCAGAGATATTGGATGTAATATGAGCGGAGCGCACAGTCCTCCTTTAATTACTCGCCTATTACGTTAAATCAGAGCTTTAATTGGTTAAAGCTTTCGTAGAATCCTAGAAAAATGGCTCCCTCCGCCGATTATATAAATTAAATTCATTTGGTACACGCCCGTGCACTTATCAGTGTATCGTGTTATCAAACAAGAACCACTCTAAAGTACATTAGCAACTGTCGACTTTCATCTCTACGTCATCGTAACGCAGGTGTGCGTTACAAATAATAAAGGCAAATAATCGCAGGCGCAAAGAAGAGAAGCAAAGACAAAAGCCACAATATTAACTTACAGTCATTTAAAAGAATGCTGGAGCAAAGGGACGACGGCATTCGTTTGCAGGGAGAACTCGACACTCCAAAAGTCACTCTTGCACGGACGTGTCACGGATAGCCTAACGTGTTTCGGCTGTCCTTAGCCTCCTCACGTGCGTACCGGCGTGAGTCGACGGTTGTCAATAGGCGTCGAGAGGACCAACACCGGCTGATGTCACTCTATCGCTCGTCCATACTTTCTCTCTATCTTCCTCTCTCACGCTCTCTGTCTCGCTCTCTCTATCGAACTATCAATCTATCTATCTGTCTATTTCTTCCTCTCTCCCTCTCTATCTCTCTCTCTCTTTCTCTCTCTCTATCTGTAACTATTTATTTATCTATCAATTTAGACACGAAATCGTGTGCGAAAACGCGGAGTAGCAAACTAGCAGATAGAGAGAGGAGCCCCAGCCAACGAGCGTCGACTCCGTCACAAGCACAACTAATACGAATATCGCGACGGCTCTCTTTCGCCGCGACGACGGGAGCGCCGAAGAAGAGAGCCCTCGTATCTCTCTCTCTCTCTCTCTCCTTCTCTCTCCCTCTCTATCTGTCTCTTTCTCTCTTTCTCTCTTTCTCTCTCTCTCTCTCTCTCTCTATCTCTCTCTATCTCTATCTCTCTCTCTCTATCTCCTTCATTCGTCCTGCCGTCGTCGCTGTCGCACCGTCTTTCCCCGTTGATCACTCACTCTCACTCTCTCTTTCTCTCTTAAGCGCGCGCGCGCTTTTCTCCCCTGATTCGGCGTCCCCTCTCTAGCGGCCGCCCCGCCGTTTGCGCGCGCGCCTCCGAAAAACGCACGCCGCTATGCTCTTTCTATATTCTCTACTACCTCTCCAGGGTGAGAACGAGGATGAGCCCGCGAAATACGAATGTGCTACGAGGATTCTGCGCTCTGGGATCAGCGCGCACGCGACCGTCTGGCCTCCACGAGAAGGGAGGAAGCGCCTTGGTGGGGGAGTCGAGCCGCCGCCAACGACGACAATGACGAGAGAAAGGGGATGCGCGTGCGACTTAGAGAGTGAGAGGAGAGGTGGAAGAAACAGAGAGAGAGAGAGAAAGACACAGAGAGAAAGAGAGAGGGAGAGAGAGAGAGAATGAGACAAGAGCGTCAGGCCTTTTCAAGCATCGGACGCTTTCTTTTTGGAATGCGTGTCCCGTCTCGTCTCTTTTAATTGTTCCAGCCTCTGAGCCCAGCGTTTTCATCGAAAAGATGGCCGAGGAAGATGTTGCGCCGAAGGAAGAAACGAGTTTTAGCATGAAAGAGTTGAGAACTACGCCTAGGCGAGAACGAGAGTAAGCGACAATTCGCGCACCTGGGGTGCCTTGGAAGATTAAAGGGAAACGGGGATTAAGAGAAACGAAATTCAGATAACTGATGAGTACAGTCTATATGGTTACAAGAATACGTGTCCGTATAAGGGAGGATGAGAATGAGAGGGAGAGTGGAAGAGAGAGAGAGAGAGAGAGAGAGAGAGAGAGAGACTAGGCAAATGTGAAACGTGAAAGAGACAAAGAAATAGTCGTAAACTGGGACTATAAATATAGTACTTGCGTACAAAACGAGGAGTGAACGGTGACGAGGAAATATAGAGAAAAGAAAAAGGGTGGTGAAAGAGCCCGTTCTCAGTAAAAGATGCTCTAACGGAGAAACGCGTGTATCCGATAATGTAGTTTAAATATACGCGGAAGAGAACGAGGAAATTGGCTTTTTTGATTGGATATAATAAAAAAAAAAATATGAAAAAAAAATAATAATAAGCGAGATTGAGAGAAGAATTGATCCTTGATAAGTTTGAGCTAGAATGGAAAATAGTAGAGCCAACTGACCGATAAGGTTATGGAGTGACAAAATATATAAAAGCCGCAACTGCTCTCCTTACACGCGTTTTCGACATCGACGTCAACAGAGATGACGACGGTCTCCTGCTACGGACGTAATAAGACTGAAACACAAAGTTGGAACAAGAAAAGTGGCAACAACCGAGTGTGTTAACTTGGTTATTTGGAGGCATCATCGCCTCCTATGGACTAAAGGAATAATTGAAAGTAACGAGGGAGAATCCTCTCGGCCACTATCACCACCCGACTTTATTCCTACGCAATACATCCCTTTTTCATTATTTATAGGCGAAAAGAAATGACAGGGGCACCAAGATAGATGCTTGTGAACAAAAGAGAATCGATTTTGAGAAACAAAAAGTACGGTCGACAAAGTAAGCGCAGACAGGCCAAGAATACCAAAAGCAATCGACTCACAATATCTTACTTCTAATTACAATAAGGCGGCCGATTTATCCTCACCTCCGTCCCTCCTGCCATTCAGTCCTTTCTCTCACGTAGTTTCACACCTGTTTACTTATAATTACGGTGCCTCTAAAACCGTGTGAAGAAGATCAATGGCTCGATGATAAGAGGAGCACGTGTACACGAAGTAGGCGTTAGTCGCGGTTGTCAAGGAGAAGCAGGGGGATAAAGAGCGGCCATACGCGCCGGAAGCGATCGATGCTCATGTTTCCTGCGAGTCTAAAGCCGTATATGTCCTGTCGCCTCCGCGACACTTTTGAGCTGCAGCTTCGACCTCCTGCGGAACAGGTTTCGCGCGCCGTTCCTAGGCACAGGGTAATCCGAACCTTCCTTATTCGCGTTCGTTTGCTCGAGCGATCGAAGAACCGTGAGCTCGAGTAATTTTTCCACGTCTATCTCGCGCGAGGAGTTGGCTCTTCGAGCTCTGTTGACTAGCTTTATCTCGGTCTGGTGAAACATTTGTACAGAGATTATTAATTCATGATCGTGTAAAGGTTAAACAGATTCGGATCGATTAGGTACCGCTATGCGATACTTAGTTTATGTACCTTATCTTTGTACGATAAAAAAAATTACAGAGAAAGTTACTATAAGCTCAAGGTTACTTTATTCGTATTCAAAGAAGTGAGAGAATTCTGCATTATAATTTTATATAAAATTAAAGGGAATTTCGCAAGGTACGTCGAGGAGTGAGAAAGAGGGGGAGAGGGGATGCTCGAAAAGTTGCTTAAACTAAAATCTATAGTACGAATTATTTAAACGTCATAAAATGCTTTTGAATTTTATCCCCACGTAGGCATCATTTGCTTTATACATAATGTCAATTTCAGGAAGAAAATTGAACGATTCGTACATAAAAATTGAAACGATCCTTAATGCATCATACAATCGTGACTTTCCCGCAGTTGCTACAAACGGGTGTAATTCTACTAGTGTATTCACTCTCTCTCTCCCTTCCTTTGTAGGCTGTGGGTAGGATATACTATATGTATGCAAAAAGATGAAGAGAGAGCGAGAGCGAGAGAGAGAGAGAGAGAGAGAGTGAGAGGAGACAGAACGACGGCGGCGGTAGTACGACCCCACTCGATTCGTCCCCTCAAAAAATCATTACGCCCTTCCGCGGGCTGCGCATGAACGCCGTTTTAATTCGCTATACTAGAAAAGTAAAATATAAGCGAGAGCGCGGCCGAGAGTAGGAGCCGCGCCGCCGCCAATCGGCCGATGGTGGGGGGGGGGCGAG